CGGCTATTGCGTCTGCACGGCATTAATATTATTTCCAACAGGCACACACACACACACGCACACAATTCTATTAAGGTATAGATGGTTGTGCATCCTGCGAACCGCAGGACCTCATGGCCGTGAGCTTTAATTTTGGCTCATTTTTCGCTATCAAAACATTATGTTTATGCGCCTGTATTTGTTTTTGTTCCACTCATATACATATGTACATATATTTGTACATATGTATGTATCTGTGCATACACATGTATGTACATACATATGTATTAATGAATGTACATATGTATGTATTCTTACACACTCGACGTAAATATTTGCAATTAAATATGCCAAAAATACACCAGATATACACACATATCCCTTCTTGTTTTGCCCATTTTGTGGGTATTTGATGCAGCTAAAAATATGTACATATGTACATATGACCATATTGATGTATCTTACGTATATTTGGTGTTTTTCCATGTAACTTTTAACTTTTAGAAGAAGAGAATACTGATATAGTAAAATAGTATGACAAAGTAGGAAACTGTATAGACAATATTTTAAATATATAAATGCAATACAATCGGAAACCCAAACCCAAAAAATAAAGTAATTACTCACTGACTTTCCAATTAAAATGACTTTTACCACATTGTATGGCATGCTCTTTCTAGATTAAGGTATACGATACTCATTCTGACACCATGACGACAACGACATGCGCACCTGTCCACCCTCTTGGATTAAAGACGAAATACCTTCCAATCTACATTTTTTTATTAGATCGAATCAATACAAAACATGAACTTTGCCAGAGATATCATTAAACGACAAGTTACGTACCGTTATCAATGTACTGGATTTCGGTAGGCTTTTTGTATAGATTTCGTAAGATCAAGTTCTATTTTTCCTATATCTGATCCCACTGTGAACCCTGGAATAGGGTCGTGGGAGCCCAGCGTAATGTAATCAATTTGAGTGCAAGCGCACTCGGACTTGCAAACGCTGCTGCCCCGGCACGAGGCCAATGAACAGATCTACATTATCAGTGGTGTTGAATAGGGACCCACATCAGAATCTGCCTCTGGATTGATTAAGGTGCCGTTGACAGCTAATCGTCTCGGCTAATGCAAGAGCTATTAAGCGGAATGTAACTATAATGTTCAATTGTTGAGTGTTTAACACAAACTTTAACACATGGCAACACGAGCGGAAGAGAAGGAAGGAATGGGAGAGCGCCAAACGTAATATATGTAGAGTTATGGAGTGAATGCAGAGAGTAAGTCTTAGCTTAACATGTGGCGTAGGGCACATTCTGTGAAGGGGGACTATCACAATGCTTTTGGAAAATTATCTATATCACTCAATTTATAATTTAAATATATTTTAAGTTATAAATACAGTAAAATAATGCAGAAGTCCGATCCCCCTTTGCTCCGCCACTGCCTTAGCCATTCAGCCAAGCGCCGTTATCTGCGTGATTTTGACAACAACTCGGCGTAAGCTTTGAAGGCAGAGAATCCAAGTGCTTCGTCTCGGACGCCTTGTCGCAAACATTGTGCAAACTGACGTCCCACGGGGCAGTCGCAATAAGAATATAATTAATTGAGTAACGCGGCTATTAAAAACTAAGTGAACATTACTAAGGACTAACAAAGCAACAAAGGCTAAGGCGCACAAAACCTCAAACAAAGCCATGAACGAGGGGACACAGCAGCGCAGGGGCGCGGCGGAACCTACCGAACTCAGTTTTGTGCGCGAAAAATTGCTGAAATTCCAGTCTAAAATGTTGGAAGACTTTGAGAAGCGCCTGTCCTGCATGGTCGAGGATGTCCTTCAGGATCTGCGGCAGCGAGAACTGCGTGCCCACGAATTTCGCAACTTCGAGATCCCCAATGGGGGAGTGAGCCATAATAGCGTTTGGCATAATCGCATGTCCAAACAAAAAGTTTCAAACACTGCAGCCAGCGACGTTAGCGATATTCCAAATGGTCATGCAAATGGTGCGAAGCCGGCGCCCAGCCAAGGACAGAAGCGGTCGGAGCGACGTCAATTGCCCGACAAGGTATTCGTGGCGCGGGAATCGTACCTGACCGCGCTGCTCCAGGTGGAGCACATGCGCACCATCTATCACATCTTCTACATTATTCTGGTCATGTTTCTGCTGAATGTGATCTTTTACGACTACTTTGTGAAGGGGCGCATTGATCTGGGCCTGGGCACGATTCGGGGTGGACTGAAACGTTTGCACTGGGTCTTCGGCGTGTGGCTACTGGAGCATGTCTTTGTCCTGGCGCTGTATTACGCCTTCCAGGGATGGGCAGTGGTCAGGCATAAGCTAAAGCAGCATAGTAAGTACAACCGGTAGACCGCATAGAGCTCAAACTAATCTAAGATCATGTCCCTTGGCAGATGCACTTCAACGATTCTGGTCACACAGTTGCCTGATTATGTACATCAGCTCCCAAGTGGTATTTTGCTTTGTGTCCACCTCGCTCTGCCTGAAGTTTGGCCTTCCGTTTGTCAGCGCCTGCGTCCTTCTGCTGGAGAGTACTCGCCTGCTGATGAAAATGCATGCCTTCGTGCGATACAACGCACCTCGAGTGCTGGCGGGAAAGCAGAAGACAGATGACGACCAGGAGGCCGCACCGGCCGGACGACCATTTGTGCCGCCTGTGCGAAGCTATGTGTACTATCTGTTTGCCCCCACGCTGATCTATCGGGATAGCTATCCACGTACCTCGCACATACGGTGGAAGTTTGCCCTAAACAGACTGCTGGAGGTAGTGGCCGTGGCCTTTCTCTACGCCTTCATTCACGAGCGTCACATACACGAGCACTTCGGAGAGTACGGCAGGGAGGAGGTGGGCCCATCGAAGATGATCCTTAAACTGTTTGGCATGATGCTGCCCAGTGCTGTGATATTCCTGTGTGGCTTCTACATGATCCTGCACTCGTGGCTGAATTTCACTTCAGAGTTGCTACGCTTCGGGGATCGCATGTTCTACAAGGATTGGTGGACATCGCACACCTACGACGCCTACTACCGCAACTGGAATGTGGTAGTGCACGATTGGCTGTACGAGTACGTGTACAAAGACATGTATATGCACGTCTTCAAAGGCTCCAAGGTGGCTGCCTCGTTGTCGGTGTTCATGATCTCGGCTCTGGTGCACGAGCAGGTGCTGGGATTCGCCTTGCAAATGTTCTTTCCCGTCATGTTTATCCTCTTTGGTGTTGTGGGCGTAGCTCTGGTGTATCTGATGCGAAGTGCGCCCAAAGTCCTGGGTAACATGTTCCTTTGGTTCTCCCTCATCTTGGGCAATGGCATGCTAATCTCTCTCTACGCCATGGAATACTATGCAAAGAAGAATTGCGATCTCAGCAACGAAACCTGGACCGATCATCTCGTGCCGGCCGTCTGGCGTTGTTATAACTAGTTTTAGATGTACAATATTACTGCTTTTAAACTGTTCGTACACATGGCGTACATTTGATTTGTATTTAAGTTAGAGTAGATAACTTAAATGAAATTAACAGGAACGTTTCAACACATTAAACAAACATTTATCGAAGTTTGAACTTGATCAGCTGCAATGCTCCTAAAGCTAATGGATTACTTATTTTACATCAGGATGCCCTGATAAACCTATCTATCTTATGGAATACTTTGTGAGTTGGTGGGTGGCGTCCTCTCCTCTTCTCTCTGCATCCCGACTAGGTCTTCGCTTGGCTTTATATACAGGCCGCCGCTTGTTTCGACGTCCCGTTGTCTTCCTCGACTCGTTTGCGTCGGAACAGTATCACATGTGGCTCTGGAGCGTGCATCATGTAATGGACCCAGCCGGGACTCTGCTGTATGCCAAGATTTCGCCACTCCGTTTCAGTCATCAGGTGAGCCTTAGGCACATGCTTGGCCAAATCGGAGGGTAGAATAACATGCCTGTTGGTTGGGGGTAAGAACCTAGCTGTTAGACAATTGTCTATAAATGGTCTCTTACTGGCGTGCACTCACCTGTATTCGAATTTGTCGTCAAAGTACTTTTCTGAGTACTGGATTTGGTCTGCCGGCATCTCAGTAATATTAAATTAAAGTAAATCAAAAAAAAATTAAACAAATACAAGAAATATTGTCACCGCAAAATGATTGATAAAAATATACAATCTGGCCCTCAAAAATATACCACGTAACATATACCTTCTCATCTTACAAATATTCCGTAAATATACCGTAGTCTTAAATCATATTCCCCGATTTTGATGTTCTATTTGATATTTAATATTTGCAAAATTTATTCATTTGGCTTATTATAAATTGTATATATTTTATTTGAATTTTTCATGCAAATCACTCCTTCTGGAAGCAAGGGGTTTTTCATTTCAGTATTATTATTATTAACAGAGACATTTAATAACATACATACTTTGAAATTCATGTCGAAAATATATTTAAATACTTTACTCAGTAACAGCTTCGTTGTGACTGGCAACTTTTGAATTCAATGACAGACTGTCGATAGCTAAGCAGAAGATAATTTTATAACTGAACTGGAATGTTAACAGCATAAGGAATTGATTGGAAAATCTGATTAAATTATAGTTTTAGCGCTGAGACTCCTAACTAGCTGGTAATATCACACATCATACATATAGAGGAACATAAGTTAAGATTACGGTATATTTACTGTGTATTTTTTAAATGAGAAGGCATATTTTTGGTATATTTTTGAGGGCTTTGCAGCATGAAGTTCTTCACATGTTCCAAAATAAACCATACCATCCAAAGAAAATTAAATTCCTTAGCAACGACTTCCCGTAAAAGGCCTAAAATATATTTTGATTGTTATTAATGGTGCAAATTCGTTGGCCATTGGCCTCTGGAGTGTGTGTGCGTACATACCAAAAGAACTGCTGCCGTCGCTGTTGTTGTTGTTGTGTGCGTGTGCAGAGCAGAAGAGCATACAAATTGCCAAGCGTTTTTATATAAGTTCCATGTTCCATGTTTCCCAACAATATATGCTACATACATATAAATGTAAACGCACATATTTAATATTAGCATAGAGTTGTCATCCAAACCCCCCTGGCAACCGACGTGCTGGCCCCTACAGCAATAGCAACGGCGAGAGAGCAGCAGCAGCAGTTACGATACGAGTAAATATACATATGAGGAGGAGAACACAATTAAAAATACACCAAGAGCTCCATTAGTGCCTGTCCCCAGCCACCCAGCGTCACGCAGTCACAAATGGCTATATGGAAGTGCGCGTGCTAGAAGCGAAGCCACCACCTGCTGCTGTTGCTGCTTCGAGGGACGAGTGGTTCAGGGACTGGGACTAGGATTAGGACTAGCACTACGGATATTGGCATTGCCCCACCCATCCAGACAGCTGCTTCAAACTGCGCCGGTGACGACGAGCAGTTGAGGGCAGTCGCATCTGCCCCTGCCCTAGCCCTAGGACCTCTACCCGCCGAGTGGAGCAGCAGCAGCCAGCGGCCAGGAGAACAACAAACGACGACGCCGCCGCCGCAGCAGTGCAATGAACGCCAGCCTCATCTATGAGATACTCATGTATCTGAATTCATTCTATTTCGGCATGTACGCCGCCTTCGAGGTGGGCGTGGGCGTGCTGAAGGCAATCAATCTGAACTACGGCGAGAATGTGTTGTCGCGGGAGGCGTCCATACTGCTCTCGCTGTGCATTATTGAGACCCTACGCATTGTCTTTGGCCGCAAGAGCAGTCTCAGCGATCGTGGTGAGTAGAAAAGAAACACCTTTCCAAAGGAATCCTAACCAGAGTTCTGATGATGATGATGACACTTGATATTATGGACGAGAGAGAGCTTCGTCATTGTCATACATTCTCATACCCCTGCCTTTTGCTTGCAAACGTCAGCCGCCCATAAACGTTTCGTAGTATATGTATATGTATATGTATATGTATATGTATATGTATATGTATGTATATTTATATGTATATGTATATGTATGTACTACCCCCTCCACCAAACCCCCCACATCTATCGTGGCGTATGCGTAATTATGGTCATGATGCAGATGAGCAATGTAATCGGTTAATGGGCAGAGGGACATATTTCCACTACTAATCTATTTTGTTTGTTTCTTTCTTTTGCAGGATGGCAAGCAACCGCATCCGTAATATTAACACTGCCCAGTCTTGCTATTGTTATATATTTGTGTTGTTTTCAAACCTATGTTCTCAAACTCGAAATGATTCTGAGTGCCTTAATGATCACCCTACAAGGTGCTGAACTAGTCTATGCCAGCATATTCATTTGTACAATGTGTCGACCCGTAACATACACCTAGCAGTTGATATACCACGTTGTCAACGACGACGACAACGACCACGACCAAGCCATTATCATCAGCATTAGCACTATCACGACGAGAGGAAGCAGCGGCCGACAAGGCAGAGCGACGAGGAAGACGAGAAGTGGCTTGCTCCTGGCACTACTATATCAGACGCCTAGACAATTTAGACCACTTTAACTTTAATGCAAACAAGATATTACAACCAATACATGAGATACGCTGGCGTATTGCTGTGTGTGCCCTGTGTCCATGAACCACAAAACCGAATGATCGACTGGCACTCCGCACTCCGCACCCCGCACCGAAATGAAAGGAACCAAACAGCAAAACCCACGCACAACACATTCAGATGCCATCAGGAGGCTTCCTACCATTAAGGTAACTGCTTTTCAAATTATGTAAGCCAACCGATTGCACAGAGATACGCGACCGACGCGCGTCCGATTCTATCAAAAGCGAAGCTGCATTTAATTTGAATTTCTTGTTTGCATTCTTTTGTCTGGCCTTTTGTCGCCAGAACCTCCCTGCTGCTGCTGCTCTGCCGCCTGGCGGCAGTACGCGCTCGTTGTTGGTATTTTTATACGCTTATGATGGTCTAAAATTATATACGAACTGCTTTAGTGCTCGTGCCTGTCCCCTAGGTGCAATGCACACTTCTAATTCAAATGTAATATATACATACGCCGGGCGGGACAGACACCCTCGGGTCGGCCAGAGTACCGATGAGAGATTGAGGCTACCACGGGGTCTATCATCTGATGCGTTTCGGTTCGGTCTTTGGCCCCCAATTAGCCCCTTCTTTTGGGCCAGGGATTAGTTAATATATTCTGACACTTTGGTGTACCCAGGCACAGTGCATCTGTAGATCATCTGTTGCCCAAACTACGCCAGAGAAAGCCACTAAAACGGCGACAACGACCAGGCAGAGGCAGAGGCACATTCACATTATTCAAATTTCGCAGCTACAAACCGTGCTCGGCTGCCCACTGCAACATCTAACGCAGAGGCAGGTTCCCACCACAGTCTATAAATACAGCGCCCAACGTGAGCAACACGGTGCGCCGTTCATTTGTTTTGGGGACGAAATTTGCCTTCAAATTAAAGAGCGAAAGGTGCAAAAGTTGTTAACAGGATGCCGCCAAAGCGACCGCCACCGCTAGTGCCGAAGAAGCCCAATCCCAGCATGAATTACGAAGTGTTAATCTACTTGAACTCCTTTTACTTTGGGATGTTCGCCTGCTGCGAGATGGCGATGGGTTTGCTGAAGGCTATCAATCTGAGCTATACGGGGCATACCCTGGCCATGGATTCGGCAGTGATGGTTTCATTTATTGTAATGGAGTCAATACGCCTGATACTGGGACGCAAGAGTTCGTTGGCCGATCGAGGTAGACCTAGAGATTCCCCCCTCTCTCTATCTCTTTCTCTCTTTTTGTTTGTCTCTGTTTTGCTCTCATCTAATTTTAGTCATTTGTTATCAATAAAAACAACATTTTTAATGTGGCAATTTCTGTGTTTACTTCACAGGTTGGTCAGCCATATTGTCGGTGTTTATGACTGCTCCCTGCTTCCTCGGTGTCTCCTATCTGCTGCTGCTACAAACCTACCGACTGCGCCTGGAGTACTGCCTCTGTACGCTGCAGATAGCCCTCTATTTCACCGAAGTGTGGTATGCCATCGTCTTCGTTTTCTCACTGTGTCGTCCAGTAACTTATGATTAGTAAGAACAACAAACAGCAAACCGAACAAAAACATTTATACATTTAGTACTTACAAACAAGCGGAAAGTTTAGCAATATACAAACAAAACAAAATAATGATAATGATTGATAGATCGATGAAGAGAAATTGCAGTAGGCACTCGAGACTTGCTCATATGCCCCGAAAAAACAAAAAATTAAGTACGCAGAAACTTAGATGAAAGGAAATGAGAGAAACAACCCATAAACAAAATAGAAAACTTGTGTAGTTTATATGATATATAATTATACTTATGATAAGATTTATGATAGAGAGCGCATACACACACACGGTTTTATATACAAGAATTGTTAACATTTAAGCATCAATTGGAACCAAAAGAGAGACAACAAGAAAGCTTCAATAACTTTGATGTAAAACTTGAAAAATAATTTTCACAATTTTTAAGAAGACAATTTTTTTTGTATAAAACAAAAGAAAAAATATAAGAAAAAACCATCAATTGTATGTGTGGTAAAATAATCGAAAATAATAGTTGAATAATAGCTCGAATCTTTACACAAACTCTAGTCACAAAAAAATCATGTAAATTACTCTTGAAATTCAAAAATCATTAAAAAAATGGCAACAGAAGAACTGTTGATTAAACAATAAGAGAAACCCAAAAAGAAAACTTAGCAAACCCACAGGAAAAGTCTAGACGATGTGTGTGTACTTTAATGAACAAATACTTTATATAAAAACTAGCATATAGCAAACAACAAAAAGAAAATAATAGAAAAGAAAAGGGAAAGCTTAAACTTTTAGAGAGTGTTAACGTAGGCAAAAGACCCTTCCTTCCCTCCATTCTTCACGTGTATATGCCTATTGGCAGAAGCACAACCGAAATAAGTCAAGCTCAATTATCCCCGCCTCAAAAATGGAACAGAGATTCTGCTAGTCACCAAAAACTAAAGATTATGTACCTATAATTTGTAAGACCCTTTTGTGGTTTCATAGCCAGATACGCGCACATATAGATCACAAAATGAAACACTTAAATCTCATGCTTTTAAAACTACAATTTTAATTAGAGACAAAAAAACATCTAGACAGTTACCTTACCAGCTAGAAACAAGGAACAACCAAAGCCACAAAACTATTTTTTTGATTTAATTTATTTCTATGTATAATATTTATGTACTTTCGTTGAATGCAATGCAAAGATGTTAACAAACAATTTAGCTAATAAATAAAAACAAGCAGAAAACATACCAGATTTTATGACGAAAAGTAGGCTCTTGTACTAACTAGTCAATGGAAGCGGGGCATTTTAATTCAGTTTCATTTCAGTAACACCTTTACACACATATCCAGACAGATCGATCTCTTCCAAATTTATTTTCGTCGGAATAATTTACAAATTTGTATTCTAAATTTGGGGTGTACGAAAGAAAATACTAAATTTTAATTGAATAAAATTTGCGAACATTCCGAATGGACAAGCAGCAGAAGTCTGGTAAACATGCACAAATATTTATGTTCCATGAACAATTCAAATTGTAAACAATATGCTCGCTTTTATGATTCAGATGCCTATTGCGCCCGTTCCACTTCGAGCAGCAGTCGTCGCGTCATGTGGAAAATGGACACGGACGATAAGGATGAGGAGGTCTTCGACTCGGTCGTCACCTACCGCTGGATGCCAGCAGAGGTCACCGTTAGCACCAAGAAATCCAAAAGCAATCCAGAGGTGGCTGGCAGACAAGAGGTTGCCAAGAAGAACTGGCGCATGATGGTTACCGATTTGGTCAAACGCAAGGACCTCACGCAACAGGAGCAGCCAACTACATCTCCCGCTGTTGTACCAAAAGCCAATTCTTTGGCGAAACTGGAGGGACTCGACGGCAAGGAGCGCGCCAAGGCTTATTGGCTGCATCTGGAGGATGAGGATGAAAAGGATATTCCTTTGAGTGGCAGTTCCAGCCTGGCCCTGCGCTACAAACCTTCCCATGAATCGCTGAAGTACAAAAGGAGCAAAGACCGAGGACTGGATCAAGATCAGCAGCAGCCGAGCACCTCCCACGCGACCGCCGCCAGCTTGAATGTGGAAACCTGTGACCTGCCGCCGCACCAGACGTGTGTGGTGCGTGAGCCTCCGCCAATGTTTGCTCACCGCGTGCGCATCTCAATGGCCAACGACACCGATTCGTGCAGCTCCGGGGAGGTGGAAGCGCGGATTAACGGCACCGCATCAGATGCCAGCAGCGTGACCGGACTATCGAAGCATCTGTTGAGTGTCGTACTAACGACGCCTGCCTGCAGCTCCTGTACAAGCGATCCTCAAGTGGAACCCAGGCGTTCCGGCAGGGCACGTTCTCTCTCGGTTTCAGGAAGAAAGTTGATAATACCCAGCAACAGCGTCACGGCCGCAGGGTCCCCCTCAGAGCCGGCCAGAAAGTTGACTATCGCCCGCCACAGCGTCAAGACAGGCGGTTCCCCCCCAGAGTCGGCCAAAAAGTTGACTATCCCCAGCAACAGCGGTACGGCCGGAGGTGTTCCCTCGGAGTCTGGCAATCTGTTGACCAGCTCCAGTGTCAGCGCCAAGGCACGCTCCACTTCGGAGTCAGGAAAAAACAGCAACACTACTGGCAGCGTGGTGCCTAATCTGCGCCAGCGCCAGCAGGAGCTTCACCATTACCGTGTCCTCGTCGAGAAGCGGCGCCTGGACTTGCTTGAGCTCAAGATTGCTCGCGAACGTGAGGAGACTTTGCACCAGGACATCCTCTTCCACAAAGATTTGCAAATCAAAGAGAATCTCTTGAAAACCTATGACGACAACGATGTCTCTCACGCTTAGGAACTCCATTGCAGTGCCACACCACACAACCTAGGAACAACAATTACAATAGAATAAACTAAATTCGCCAAGGTCACAGTACCTCAAAACGCATACTAAAGTCGGAATAATAAAACTCAAAGAAAGAAAGCCATAGACCGGGTAAACAAAACACCATTTTGCATTATTTTTTCGATTTTGAGGGGAAAACTATTTGCAACTGAAAGCAGCGAGCACAGAATTAAAATTATAAATAATAGTATACTTTTGTTTACTTTTATTTTTAAAACCAACCCTTAAATTCGCGCCAACAAACGATAAACGCGTCTCCCAGTGAATGTCAGCGCAGCTGCTCCAATTTACATGCAACTGCATTCCATTAAGTCGACTTTTACAACAAGCGAGAACCTCAAAGATGTTAATAAATATGTGCAGAACTTGCGGCAGGCGCAATCTCTGTGACCAAAGCATAAATCTATTTGAGCAGGCCAACAGGAAAGTGGTGCGGCATATTTTCATGATTGCTGGAATTCGGGTAAGCCGGAAGTTGTGTTTGAGACTGAGAAATGCAAATTTACATGTCCCCATGCAAATGTCTTTGTTTTGGGGTATACCGCAGTTGAGAGATCTGTCGAATGTTCCCGGCTTCATCTGCCATTGCTGCCAGTCGGATCTCAAAATGGCCATGACCTTTCGGAAGCTGTGCCTCAAGACCCAGAAACGATGGCAGCCCAAAATTGTGAAAGACGAAGACTCCTCTCTTAGCGAAATGGAATGCCAAGCACAGACAGAACCGTTGAAGGGGAAAATAAAGAATTGTAGCAAAGTCAGCACATTTATGGAATCTGATGACGAGCCAAAGGAGCCGGAAGAACCGTTCATAATAATGCTGGAAGAGCAGCCAACGAGCAATATTTTCGAGTGTGAACAAATCGATGAGGAGGAAGCCAATAACTTGGACCTGGATATCGTCTTAAAATGCGAGCCAGAGGGAAGTAGCAGCGAAGCGGAACAGCTAACTGGTGACCCAATACTAATCAAAAGTAGCCACAAAGTCAAGTCGGAAGACGAAGCCTACATATGCGAGCTGTGTGGGACGCATTCCCATTCAAAGACTGTTTTTGAGCGCCACATGCGAAAGCACACGGGTGAGCGCCCGTACGGTTGCCTGTAAGACTCATAACAAAGCTCCCAATTATGAAATGTATTAAGTCCCCATTATTATGTTTTGCAGGGAGTGTACCGCAAAGTTTTTCACTGCCGCCGAATTGCGTTCACATCATCGTGTCCACACGGGAGAGCGGCCGTTTGCCTGTCGCTATTGTGAGCGGCGATATGTGAGCTACATGGGCAGATTGAAGCACGAGAGAATCCACACCAATGAGCGCCCTTTTGTCTGCGCCGAGTGCGGCAAGGCATTCACCAACTCCTATATACTAAAGAACCACATGCTAGTGCATACGGGCGAACGACAATTTCGATGTGATCTCTGTGAGCGATCTTTTCAGCGTAAGACGCATCTGCGGACGCATTTCCAGTCAAACACTCACCAGCAGAACCTCGTGAAGCAGCAGCAGCTAGACGGTGTTTTGTGAAGTCCTATAGAATAATTCGTAACACGTACAACGGGAACCAAATGGAATCTTAGTTTAAAATGAAAATTGCTTAGCGGTCTTATTTTGAGCCAGTGTTGCACGGCGGCACCTGTACATGTGGCGATGTGTTGCGAACAGTGCTGCCAACTCGTCGGGTCATAGAAAAGAAGGTAGAAATAGCCAACAAATTTTGTATGACAAAATAAACATTTTCTGTAGAAAAAAAAAACGGATGATTTCTTATCGTTTCCATAGGAATATCATCCCCGATTCGGTCGACCAAAAATGTATCGCATATAAGTACTGAGCTTTAATATAGATCTTTGGAAGGTAACAATCACGCACGTTTTCTTGAAAAATAGCTATAGTTCCTCTAGTTCCCCGCTGTTTTACAATATACCCCGCATGAGCAAATTGAAAAAGCTAGATCTAGTTGGAAAAGAGCTAAATTGGCAACCCTGGTTGTGAATGGCCAACTGTTGTGTGGGTGGAATTTCTTTGTTTACAATTGTTAATTATTAGGTTTTATTAGCCATTTGTCGTACTAAAATGCTGCAAAACGTTTGTCGAACATGCGCCAGCAACACGGAAGACAAAAATGCATTGAAGCTTTTCAGCAGCAACGCGAAGGGTCTGGTGCAACAAATCAATTTAATTGCCGGCATATTGGTAAGATAGAAGGAATTCAAAATATATATACTATTAAAACAATAATTTCAATCCACACCTCAGCTTCAATTCGATCCCGATTTACCGGATTGGATATGCGAAAGATGTCAAACCGCCGTGCAGAGTGCCATAGAGTTCCGTGAGCAATGTCTGAACAGCCAAGAAAAGTTAAAAACCTGCGATGGGATGCCCACTGAGTGTTCCAGGTCTGCATCCACCCAAATAATCTGTGTACGCCGTAGTACACGCACCCAGAAACAGCTGGGAGCTGCTACAGAGCCAAAGAGTCCGCCCAGTCCCACAGAAGTAATGATCAAAGTTGAGAATCTGAGCAATGGCGGCGATGTGGAGGACGATGGTGTGGACCAGCTGGATAACAGCAATGATGCAGATCTTGATTTCGTATTTAAAGAGCTGCCCTTGTCAGAAGATTATGACCCTGGATCACCAGCCAAAGTCCGAAAAGGTAGACGAAAGAGACACTCAATCGAAAAGCGCCAAAAACCAACTCTAACCGTCTTCTTTTGCGATCAATGTGGCACCAATATCACTGGGAAGTCTTCGTTTGATCGCCACCAGCGTAAGCACAGCGGCGTTCGACCCTTCCAGTGCGAGTAGGCTGAGAAAACGAAGCTCCTTCAGTGCAGCTTGTAATTTGTTTGGCCCTTTTTAGACTCTGCCCCGCCCGCTTTCTATCCGCCGGGGAGCTGAAAGGACATCAGGTGATGCATACGGGGGATCGTAACTTCCCCTGCCGCTACTGTGAACGCACCTATGTCAACTACAGCGGGCGGCTGCGTCACGAACGCACTCATACCAATGAAAGGCCTTTTGTCTGCTCCCAGTGTTCCAAGGGCTTCACTAATTCATACATTCTTAAGAATCATATGCTCGTCCATACGGGCGAGCGCTTGTTTAGGCAAGTAACCAACTCATTGTGGTTCAATTTGTTACATTAACAGCGCCATTTGCAGATGTGAGCTGTGCCAGCGTTCGTTTACGCGACCAACCCACTTGAAGACCCACTATCGGTCGAACACGCACAAACACAATCTGGAAAAGGCAAAGGCCCAGAAACAGCAGCAGTCAGAGGGCTTGGAGATGGCTCTGCCACAGCAGACTGACTTCCTAGTGGAGCAACAACCGGCAATGGCCTTCACGATAGAAGGGCCTTTGCCTGTGGAGCAGGAATCCTCATTGGATGTAGCCGCTCAACAGCTCTTGGGACCATCAACCTTAGTATTTAGTACAAGCTGAACCAACGACAACGTAAAGCCAAATATACATAATTAATGCCTCAATTTTATTCGCTTAAAATAAGATTTACAAAGACCATTTAAAATATGTCTTTATATTTTAAGCCTTACTCTTCAAAAATAAACCAGCAACTGGAGACTTGATAATTTTCATTTGAAGATAGAATTATTAATGATAAAACTCTTATTACAACTCAACTTCTATTATACTACCGCTGAAATGCTACTTGTCAGTATAGTCCGCCATTACACCAATTACGGCTAATTTTATACTTGCATTTTTATACCCGAAACTCGAAGAGTAAATAGGGTATATTGTATTGTTGCACAAAATTGGATGTAAGGTGCGCGCAATAAGTCACCTTACAATCATAAAAACATTTGTTAAATTTTAAAATTTTGTTCTTTCCTTAATTTTGCCTTAAAGTCAACAAAATAACAATTCAAAAATGCCAACAAAAGTTTTTTATACTCTGGGAAGGTCTTTTGAGAATTAAATAAAAATTTTCCAGAGCGAAATAAGTGAACTTATTTTTATTTAATTCTTATTTTTTTAAAATTTACTTAAACTTACAATTCGCAATTCGTATTAAATTGCTTAAATATGATCTCCTTTGCTATTTAAAATTTCTGTTATGCGTCCTGGCATTCAATATATCATTCTTAGAAGTAAGCATGTATCCAAATTTCTCCCATTCCTTGACAATATCTTTTTATACACGGTACTCGAAGAGTAAATAGGGCATATTGTATTTGTGTGAATAACGGTTGTATGTAACGCACAGAAGGAAACGTTTCCGATCCCATAAAGTATATATATTCTTGATCAGCATCAATAGCCGAGTCGATAGAGCCATGTCTTGTTTGTCGGCTAGTTCTCAGAGACTATAAGAGCTAGAGCCACCAAATTTTGGCTCCAGATTGCTGTATTCTCACACTGAAACCAGTGTATTTAAAAAATTAGACCCGTTAAAAGCGTCTCACACGTCCCTTCTCGTTAAACTCTTTTAATGTGGTAGAGTGTCTTCCATGCATATGCACTTTGATGGAAAGTATGCACCAAAGGTATTCAATTGGGTTCAAATCAGGAACAACGGCTGGCCAAAATCTGAAATTTTCTCTCTTCAAAAAATATTTTTCTGTACATAAACACATGAATCGCGGCATTGTCCTGTTTAAATGTCTAGGAATCTCCATAATGCGTTCCCCAAAAATTAAGAAGATCTTCGTCTAATAGTTGAACGTATGTTTCCGAGCTTATTTTGTGAGTAACAAAACATATTACACACTTTCCAGCAATACCAAATACAGGCCACACTATAAGGGACCCTCTTTGGACATTTTCACATGTTTTGGAGCCTGTATATCCCTATAGTAATACTGATACCCATCTGAACCCTCTATATTTGATTTTTTCTCATCACTGAAGATGAAACTTGGCCACTCCAAGTCTCTTAATTTACGATTTTTGAAAATTCAATGTGGGCAACATTATGTCTAGGAATTAGCTGATATTTGTCAATTTGCTTTCTTATGAAATGTTCTGATTTGCTTTCTAAAGTAGTTGCACTTGATACTTTGATACGAAGAGAGCTA